CCCTTGACGCTATTGGCTACTACACGGCAAAAAATCCTTGCAATCCTTGCCAGGGAACACAAGCCTCAAAAGAGACTGAGCACATGGGAGAACGTCCTTTTAAGGATGTTCCCCCCTCCCCCCGAGTAACTACGAGAATAGCGCATCTCGTGCTATTCTGAGGGCAAAGGAGCTCCGCTCAGCGACAAGCACCAGCAGAGCCAACAGTCTTGCAAGCTAAGAAAATATTTTTAGCTTCCAAAATGTGCCCTGTTCTTCCAAGGGCAAGTGTTTCGAATAGTGTTTAGGAACATGCATTGGGGCTCTTAAAGTAGCAGTGACATATCTCATTATCACTGTTGTTCTTTCATGAGAAGGAATGATATGGTCCTTTATGTAGGCGTTCATATTGGAGAAGGAGATGCTTTGTCTTCATTATTTTGTTTAGATGCCTTTTCTTGATTGTTTCTTTCCCATTTTGCTCAATTTTATGTTTTGTTTTTAGCAGTATATATTATGATTATCTTGATGACGTTGATCATTTGTAGATTCTTTTGCCAGAACAAGATATTTATGAATGAATGGAATTTTGTTGCTTAGCAGAGCAAGTTGCAACTAGAGTAGGCCCATTTTTTTCATACCGATGTTCCTGCTTCTTTCAATGCAGGAAGAGAGCCTGGATATATAAAAAAGTGCATGTGCATATAACATATCTTTGGAAGCACAGTGGACTTTCTTAAGCTCGATTGAAATATGGATCCATCAGCACTATTCAACTATTATCTCTGTACGTTTGAACTGAATGCTTTTACAAATACTCTATAGAATGGAACTGATCAATGTGTCCTTGCTAGTTCTTGTCCCTTTAAAAGGTTTTATTTGTTTTTGATAGAAGAAATCAGTTGTTTAACTCCATCATGACATGGCATTCAGTATTACATGGCCACTAATAGGTGCATTTTGAACTATGTAGACTAGTTCCTAAGCTGCTAGCATATCAGGATGTGATTCATACATAGAAACTGATAAGCTTTTTATTCACATTATTTAAATGCAAATAGAAATGGGGTTGCTAGAGAGTTGTTCCCTCTTGTTCCTTTCTCTCTTTCCATCCTAGCCTTCCCTTTGTTCTTTTGATTTACCTAGAAGAAGTCAGTAGATTCTTAATGGTAGAAAAAGCTTTACTTCCTTAATGTTGTGTATATCATTAGATTGCTCCTAAAGAAACAGGAGCAATGTTATAAAAAGTGATGGCAGACACAATATCTTTGAATCCCTAAGGGCAGCCGGACCGGGTTGAGTTTGCAAGGACCCAGAGTGTCAATCCTGGCCATCCTTGCCAAGAGTGGAAGTTCTTCTCATGGGAGTGGTCTGGTCATCAAAAGAGAAGCACATTGCAGAGCAACTACCTGTCCCTCTTCGTAAAGCTGAAGACCTTATGTTATTCTGCACAGGTGTAGAATAATTTCTGAGGACCGGATTTTAAATGCATGTGGTAATATAGTGTCAGAATCAACTTTCAGGAAAAACAGAACATTTCGACTGGAGCTTTGTAAATAATAGTAATCAAATGATTGCTTAAAAAAGAATCAAGGCTTTGGAGCAGACATCTGAAAGTCACTGACACAGATAGGTTTTCAAGCATATGGTAGGGAAGTGGAACAGAGGCATTGCCCTGTCTTTCACAATAGAAATACTAACACATACAATATGAATATACCACTCTGGTATTTACTGTACCCCCCTTTTGTTCTTTTTGTGGATCGAATGTGCATATCAGGCCATTCTGCAAATGGATTTGGGTATTGAATGCATCCTTTGTTTTATTCACAGTATTAGTATACCTACCTTTTCCTTTGACTTTAGGCCTCCACGGCAGGTGATAGAAAGTGAACATTAAAGTGTAATGAAAAAATATCATTCTTATAAAAGAGGGGCAAAAATTTATGGGATAGATATGAAAATTCCTGTCCATAGATATTTGATGTTGATCTTGATGCTGATGCCTTGAACTGCTGATTTTTGGTTACTGCCAATGCTGAGTAAACCAAGTACATTCAGGTACTACCAGCAGATCCAGCCTTTCATCACAACCAGAATTATGTCCACTGAATTAATAGGACTGATGTCATTGTTGACTTAATAATTCCTATCTTTTAGTGGTGCTATTCTAGTTGGCACTAACAACTGTCTTTAGCCCCTGTAAAATAGTGCACAATCTTACCCAGAGTGCTTCCAGATGAGGCTTTTACTGTGCTATTTCCCTGCCTCTTTCCTAGAATTTTACAGTTGGACTAGATAATGTTGCCTTACATTTGTGACACTCTTGTGTTGGCCCATTGCTTTTTCCATCATATTTCTTACCACAAAATTCCACTGGGGGGGGGGGAGAAATCACATAGACCTTGGGCAAATCTTTACCACTTCTGAACACCTCATCCCTGTTTGTCGTGCTGGAAAATTTGTGGTACTAAACTGCCTTTGACAGTTTTCTAGCTTGCTCTTTTGTCCAATGTGCACCCTCAAATCCTACAACTGCCTGAGATTTTATTGCATTCTCAAAACATGTTTCCCATTTATGAGAAGAATTTTTTGCACATGATAAAACAAGAAGCCAAATTTCTGCTTTATTTCATCAACATTTGCCAATTTTAAGTCTTTGACGGTTGTCAGTGGGTTTTTTTGAGTAGTTTAAGGCAGCAACCTGGATGGAGCAATGATGGGGGAAAAAGTGGGCCAAATCCAGTTGAACATTGGCTAGGGCTCACATTGGGGCCTATTCTGTGGTAGTGCATGTAGAAAGGAAAATGCAATATCTATGTCCAGTATATTGATGATTAAGACAGGACTGGGAGGTGGGAGCTATATCAACACAGTACTGACAATACAGCCTCTTCTACATAAGGTTATGCTGTCACATATGGGGCAGGAATGATTGTGGACCAAGCACTGTCTCTGGATAGTCAGGCAGAGCAGTGGCCAAAAACACCTTTCCTGAGTTTCCACTAGCACCCCAACTGCATCCCTTGCTGGGAAGGTGGTGTGATGTCCTGCTTGAGTTTGCTCCAAGGTGGATTCCTGGCACACATACAGTGGAGAAGCACAGGACTGGTTAGCCTCTATTGACCTCAGGTTATCTTGCGTGGCAGGGCGCTGAGATACAGGATTTTTCAAAAAGAAGCTGAGAACAAATTTGGGGGGAAAAACACCCAGCCTAAACGAGAGCATGATAAAACAACAAACAAAACAGAACAAAATCACTAGAAGTCTATGTAGAAAAAGGCAATGGGTGTAATCTTAAGAAAAATGTAGCTCTAATACCTAAGGGTTAGAAAAACTTACAATTAATTAGGCAGCTGAGTTACACCAACCTCTTTTGTTCCAGCAGTGACTAGAACAGAACTAAAAGTACAGGTTTGGTTTTCTGGAGCTGCACAGTACCCAGGTGTCAACAGCTGGCTCAAGTATCAAATCTCTGTACTCCAGCAGAGTTTTTTTATTCTCAGGCGGCCCTTTTATTCCTGTTGTGTCTGGCCCCTAAGTCCTGTGGTTTGTGGACTGAAGGCTGCCTGTGCCTGCAGGAAGGTAGAGAAGCCCATTCCTTTGTGAGATGAGCTACCTGAGTAGGTTCAGCAGGATCCTTGGCCGTAGCTTTCCCAGAATTCATTGTGACCAGATAAAGCTTCACTGGGGTGTGTGAGGTCCTTATGGAAGTTCTGGAACCATAAGGTGAGTGTGATGGATGTGGGGCATGTAAAGCATGACACACGGCCACAGTTCATTACTTAACCACTTTAGTTTGATTAACCGTAGTGCATTCTGTGTATGGTTGCTTTGAAAAAGTGTTCTGAAACCATAGCTTGTTTGCCAGACTCTTGTTTGGTGCAGATGTTATAGACCCCATCACACAAGCCTTGTTCATTTCTAAGACTAATTTGAGATCCTAATTTTTAACCAGTGACATTCAAAAATCTTAGGGGCCAGGATATTTATTTCTATACGAACCTCCCTGGAGTCTATTCTTATGTAAACCTTCTATAAGCCCCATTTCATTTTTTAATTTCCCCCCCCCCCCAAAGAATCAGAACAGGGCAAAGCTGGATGTCCACTTCCAGGTTTGTGTTGGGGATTGGTTAGTCCACAACCACTGTGCATAGATCAGAAAACAGACTTGCAGGTCCAAACTGGTTTTCTTTATGAGGAGGATGCTTTGGAGATCTCAACCAACACCACCAGCATACAAATGTTGGCACCACATGTGGTGTGTGGGTGTCACTTTGCTCGACTACATCATGCTGCTCAATGTATATTCTCTTTGTTCTCCCTTTATTTATTTGTATTCTATTTTTGTATGGGTTATGTTATAATATGATTTATGTAATTCTTTGTATTATTTTATTGTTTATATTCACTGGAAGCCGCCTAGAGTGGCCTTTTAGGCCAGATGGGCGGGGTATAAATCAAATAAATAAATAAATAAAATATATAGCCTGGTTTTTCTTCAAGTCAATTCTTGCTTTGTGTAGATGGAAAGCTTTGCAGCTTTGAACCTACTAAATCAAACAGAGATTTCTATTGGAAACTTTCTATGTTTGTTTTAAATCCTTTCATGAGATATAAAGCAGAAGTGGCTTGGCTTTGGCCTGGATGATGTTGCCTGATGAAATTAGGAGAACTCTTGCTCACCTTAGCATTAAAAAAAATATCAACTCTTGTCCTTATAGAAAACTCATGTGCTTTTCTGTAAATGCAAACTGTATATAACGCAAACCACATTAACTGTGTTACCTTTAGCATCAGTTGCACTGCTGTCAGATTTCTATATCACTCCATGAGACTATGCTGGCCTGAATGAATGTTAGCATAATTTATGCAGCAGATAAGTGATTTGAGCATTTGAGTTATTGATAAACCGCTTTAGCATATCATTTTCAGCTTGATGCTATGTGACATCACAGCAAAATGTAATGTGCTGGTCCCCAGGCTAGATATTAAGGTAGAGCTTTTTATTTGAATTCCAGGAGCCAGAGGAAACACAGCGCTGTCTGATGCGAGCACATCTGATCAGCACCAACCCAGTCAATCCCATCCGGCATTCCCTGTTGGGCCCCAGGTCAGTTTCTTTCATTGAGCCTAAATAAGATTCAGTTTTCTGAAAGCAATGTTGATGGTTAACTATGGATAAAGATAGAATTGTTCAGCTGCATGCTTTAGTTCAAAATGTATGGAGACAGTGTGTGCAAAGCCATTAACATTTTGGAAAGTGGTTTGTTGGAGGGGGGGATCTTTTTCCTGCATTGGTATACTTTTCAATTAAAATTTAAGATATGAGACAAGGACTTACCCCAGTAAATGAAATTACTGGCACCTCCCATCAGTCTTATGTTGTAAATACTAAAGAGAAGTGGATGTAAAAACTACAGAATATAATTGTAATGCAAGTTCAGCTTACTGGGTTTGATGGTTATGACTGTCATGCATGGACTTTGTTTTAAATTAAATTGATCTCAGTTTTGAGCCAAAAAGTGTTCACACTATAATACTAACCAAAAAATACAGTTTATAAAGTGATTGAGTATGATGTTAGGGGAACACTGCAAGTGTTCTGCCCCATTCTCTCTAGGTACCTGCACAAGCTTTCTATTATGGCTTTTCTCAAAGAATCCTGGGAACTGTCATTTGATGAGGATGCAGAGAATTTTTGCTTGTTTGGGCAGCTAAGACAGGAACACCACAGAGAATGTAAACAGAAAAATTTAAATGCGGGTTCCTGAGCATTACATACTGTATTTAGAGGAGGGACCAACACTCAGTACTACAGAACACTGGGCAGACCGAGTGGGAAAGGGTGCCCCCATTTCAACATTTTGGAAAGAAGCAATCTACGACTTCCCCTGGAGCACTGTTTTTTTAATGTAAAATGTCCCAGGTTCAGGCCCTGGATCTTCAGGTTTTTTGCTTGTTTTTTTTTTTTTAAACACACTAAATGTTGTCCACAATTTGTCGCAGTAAGTAGGACCTGGTGTAGGACTTTTTTCTAGATTCCTTAGCAATCCCTTGCATACCATTAGAGTGCCGATGTCTTTGGGAGGGGGTGTTTAAAAAAAATCCACAAATGCTACTAATGAATGTGTTAAGATAAGATGCATGTCACCATATCACCATATAATTGTGTGGTAGTTTGAGAAGTTCTGATATGGTAAATTTGCATTAAGATACCAACCAGCTGAATTTCCCACCTGAACCTTGTAGTTCCAGCTATAATTGCCAAGGAGGCAGATGGTGTAATTGTTGCCAGTCTTGGGCAATATAGTTCAAGTAGGATTTTAACAAACTGCAAAGAATTTGAAGGAAATAACAGGACAATGATTATTAGTATGGAAAGCATGCAAGTTTAAGAGTGCTAAAAAAAAAACTGAGAAGAGAAATAGAAGTCCAAAGACGAAATCATATGACACCAGAACAGATCTTCTTAATTAGGGGACTTGTCAGGCTTGGAATGTTTTTTCCTTAGCACTCCTTTGCTCATGACTTTAAAAAAATAATTCATTGCATTTGCTTGTTAATAAAGAGCAACTTGTAACATTAGTTGTTACTAGCCGGTTATTTTTTCTGTTGCCTTTTAATAACTTTAAAAAACACTCACATTACAGTAAAAATACCATACTCTCAATGACCTTTTCTAATGCTTTACAAGAAACTAGTAAGCATTACTCATTGTGCCAAAATTACTACTACTACTACTACTACTACTACTACTACTACTACTACTACTACTACTAATACTAATACTAATACTAATAATAATACTAATAATACTAATACTAATGCTGCTACTACTACTACTACTACTACTACTAACAACAACAACAACAACAACAATAAGAAATAACGTAAAGTATCTCAGCTTTTCCTAGGACTATATTTTGTTTAGCGAGTATATATATATTAGCATTTTAATTTTTTAACTCCTTGTATAAGCCACCTAAGAATACAACTAAAGAAATAAAATATTTTTTAAAATATAAATTAATTATAAAGTACCAAGTATAGGCTTTAATTTTCAGAAGATCTGTCTACTATCATAAATACACTGCTTCTAGCTGAAACATGTTTTCTGACAATTAGATGTGTTTCCTTTTGTTCCACAATTTATCCGCAAAAAAGTGAGTTCTCCTGCTTAATTTATTTTTTTGTGCTATTCATGAGTGGGCACATCAGATTTTTTTCTCACACAGCAAGGTTGGATGCTTAATCACAGGTGGGGTTGCCAACCTTTGAGCAGTAGCTGAAGCTGCCTTTAGCAGTGCCTTAGTTCATGATAATTACTAGGTGATGCTATGTTTCTTCAAAACGTCCACTTTAGAATTTGTGGAGTGGGTGGTTGCTTAGAGAGATGGCTGAGGTAGACAAATGGAACTGGGAAATGGGTTAAACACTCCTTTCTCTTATAGATTTCTCTTCAGAAATTGTTTTTCTTGTCAAAACATACCATTGTTGACAGATTACACACGTGTGTGTGTGTGTGTGTGTGTGTGTGTGTTTGCTTCTAGTCCCTAATATTTCAATTTAATAAAATAAGTGATCATATTAAGTTGGCTTATTAATCAATCAAGCAATTAAATTTGCATATGGACAAATGTTTTTAGATGGTGCAAACATATGGTATAGCAACCATCATCTTAAGTATCTGTCCCCTTGCAAGTTCAGGGGAAAGGAAGACTGCTTTTAAAAAAAAACAAAGGCTCTTTGTGTGCATGGTGCTGATATATTTTTAACAATTATATTTATTCCTCTATCTGCAGCCTTATTAACTTCTTTCTTTTTAATCTATTTAATTGATTAATTAATAAATCAAAATGGAAAGTATTGCAGGCCTAGTGTAGACTTACTATATGCTTGTGTTTTGTCTTCAGAATCAAAAAACTGGAAAGAAGTCAGAATAACAGATACATTAGAGCCCCAGACTTTAGGAGAACAGTTGCATGTATGCTACAATTAAATCTATTGCTGTATGTTGAAATGTGATAATTATATTTCATTGCAGCCACTTCTGACGGCTCAGCAGTTGGCCTCAGCTGTAGCCGGGGTGATGCCTGGAGGCACTCCAGCACTGAACCAGCCTATCCTTATTCCGTTCAACATGGCTGGACAACTGGGTGGTCAACAAGGACTGGTCCTGACTTTGCCTACCGCTAATCTCACCAACATTCAAGGGCTGGTAGCAGCAGCTGCAGCAGGAGGCATTATGACTTTGCCATTGCAAAATCTACAAGGTAAAGCACTTTGAGGGTTGATTTAGTTTTGTTCCATATTAAGCTCAGTATTGTTTGTAAGTCAAAAGAGTACTCTAACATTCTCAATCCTTATAAAATTGTGTAAAATCTAATGTTTCTTCTCATAGCTTTAAATGTCAGGGGAGTTTAGGTCCTGCTTACTGTTTGCATGCCCAATTTTGGCAGACATGTTGCATGTTTAGGGTGAGAAATTCCTAACCTAAGAGGAGGACTCTGTGATTTTAATAAGAGTACTATTGAACTGGTCATCAGTTCAACAGATTGGTGTCTGTACTGCTCTGGGAAAAGAAACACACACATCCTGCCTACGTTCATTATGTCTGTAAATGTCGCCAGCGTCGCTGCTGACAGGAGCAGAAGGAATCTCCCCTCATCGTGTCTGTGTCACAGCCAATCCTTGTTATTAGTGTGGGGCATGTTTTTTCCTCTTGTCCTGATTTTTAGTCCTCCAATTGACAGATATTGCCTGTATTTCTTTACTACACTGGTTCTACTATCTAAATAGTACTGTGCAAAAACATAGAATGGAAAACTGTAACAGTAGGCCGAAGTGTCCAAAGTAGAAAACCTAAAAACTGGCATATATGCATATTTTTAGTGTATGTCAAAGTGTCACAGTGATGGTGGAAACACGGGGCAGGAATCACCACAAGAATTCTGCTGTTGAACCATCAGAATCCAGTGCTACTGAGAGGAATACTACCCCTATCCTTCTACAGCCCCTCCATGCACCTTAAAACCTGTTGCAGTGGCTGGGAGACCCTCCAGATCTGGTTTTCAGGCCGCTCAATAGGCTGCAGAAGAGAGAGGAGCAAAGGAAGAGGCTTGTCTAACTCCAATTGAATAAAAAACTCCTCATTAGCTTGCTGATGATGGGTATCTTCAGAACTAGAAAAGCTATTCCTAAGATAAAAGCATGGCACTGTCCTTTCCAAAGAGGCAATGAAATCCAACAATAGCCTATGTAATAATATCTCAGACATAGATTTGTTTTCCCCACATAGGAGAAGAGGTCCAGGATATCTCCACCATAAGGATTCCTTATCTAAAGTTCTTTTATCAGTGTACATCTATCATTTTAAGCTATTTTCAGGGAGCCCAGGCCACACTCAGGCTGAGTTAAGCACAACCAAGTGCCCCCTGTGTTCTTTGCAGTATGCAAGCATGTTTTCTTACTGGCCTTGGCATGCCTGTGCTTTGCTTCTTTTGTTCCTTATCCACCCCTTTCTCTAGAAATAAAGTGTGCCAACAACCTAAATTTAAATGGATGAGATAACACTGTTGAAGTAGTCTGCTTGTAGTCAAACGTAATCTAATTATTTTAACATTATAAGTTGGGTTTTTTTAATGTTTAACCTATATTTCATATATATCCATAACTTTAAATTGTGCAATGCTTGGATGTGAATAAGGACCCTAAATACCATCACACAACTAATCTCTCAGATACGTCATTGCAGTGTCTCCATCTACTGTTCCAGTTACTAGATTCCAACTTCCTTGCACCCTGCTTCTGTTTTTCAGTCTTGTCTATAGTTGGGAAGTTCCTCCTGTCGTTGCCTCTCAGGGCATCTGTGCTTCTTGCAACAGAAGTATCCTCTCTGTTTTGTTGTATAGCAGCTTCACAAGACTCTGCCCACAAGAGAAATTATAAATCTCATCATTCTAAGCTTGACTGGTCAGACTAGCCATTACTAAACCTTTTCTGAGTTTTAGAGAAATCAAGTGTGCCATCCTCATAGAGGTAGATACCTCTTGTATTATCAGGGGTCATTGTGACTGGAAATAGATTTTGCTAGGCAGATAAAACCACTTTACCTGGGGTTAAAGATGGTGTCAATTGCATGCAGACATAGTTTCCTATACACATTTCTATAATGTATGCATCTTAGATAAGGGTGAATTCAAGGTGTAGCAAAGATACGTTGTATTAAAGTGTGGAATATTTCTGTTTCCATCAACCTACTTGTTAAAAAATAATATTATTTTGCTTTTCTTCCTGACAAATGAAACTGTGAGCAGTCAGTCAGAAAAGAAGGAAAAATATTGTGTGGTCCTTGTACAAAAGGAGGGGTCTTGCTTCAGTATATCTCAGGGGCCAGATTAAATTTCATCAGGAACTGGATGGGACTCACCGGCTGCTGGTCGATTTCCAGTGCTCTGATTTTTCCTGGATTTGTGATTTATCACAGCAGTGGGGGAGGGGAAGACACTTTCGTTGTGAGGAACACTGTAGCTGTTGTTGAATTTATTTCAGAATTAAGTAATAGTGGTCTTCTTAGGAAAAGGTATGGAGCTCTGAGGATTTTCTCAAAAGACAGACATGAAGATAATAGGTTACAGGTAAAAGAAGCACCTTAAGCCTTCTGAGGCATACTCTGTTTCTTTCTGTAGTACTCGCTGTGTCTTTTTATTGTAAAAGTGGGTTTTTATTTTTGGGCTAAGACTAAGAACACAGCTGGATATGGCAGGGTTTCTTTCAAATTAGATATCCTCATTTCTGTATTATAATCCACACTGTGCGTGTACTCCATGCACATATGTACACAAACTTAAAATTCTGTTTAGAAAGACAGAAAGAGGAACAGAAGGAGCCATGTGCCCCTCTGGTGTGCTTAGCCTTCAGCCTTGCCCTTCTTCCCCCAGTCTGAATCTGATCACTTGTGGGGAAGGGATGATGGTGAAAGGCACTGAGGGGAGAGTAAAGCTATTACAGTTTTTTCTTTCCATTCTTGCTGCACCAAGAATGTAGAAATTGTGCAGACTGAATAGACTGGAAATGTCTTCCTTTATTTTGCATAATTTTGCTTTGCAGTTATTTTGCAAAGTAAAATCATTTACTTTGTTTTGTTGGTCATAAGAGTGGAAATTATGCAGAAGCTTTGACCATACTATTAAAAATCTGTTCACCCATTTATCCACCTTCAGGATAATAGCAGGATTTTGCCTCAGATTTTTAAACATGATTACATGTGTTTATTTATTGGCTGGAGGCCAGAAACTTGCTTTTGAGGGGGTGAGGAGGAAAAAAAGATGGAGTATTTGGGAAACATATTTGTGTTTTGTGTTCTTTCCATAAGAATCATGACATTCTCATAATTCTGCAAAATTCTGCAAAATATGCTAGCCATTGCTATATCAAATATATTTGTAGTTGGTTCAGACATGTTCTAAAATGCAATTGGATATATGATGTTGCATCCCACATGTCACTTCTTTTTTGGACGGAGGGCATTTCCCCTCTTCTTGTTTGAGAAAGGGAATGCTTGAATGCAATTCATGGTAAAGTAAATAAGCAATGCAATGTGGGAGGTTTAACAGTTAAAAAAAGGTTTTAAAAGAGAAAAATGCCTCCATGTTTGTTCTTCTTTAATGACATACACTTTTTTGCATGGAAAATGAACTGGGTTATGAAGCAACAACCAATCACAGAGTACAGTTTTGAGCATGACAGTTATAGGTTGACAAATGTACTTCTCCCTTCAACATTTCACAGATTAGGGGTGCCAGATTCCTGTGTAGTTCAAAATCCATGCATAACTCGTATGCCCCCCAAAATAACTACAAAGCTTTAAAAAGTCAATTAATACATGCAGAGAAAGAACAGTTATTTCTATCAGGGTTTTCTTCCATAGTATCAATAATATTTTTCATACAGTACCATGCATACCTTAAAGATCCTTATGACTTCTGGTTCTAGAGGCTGAATTTGAGATGTTGTGTTTGGAGGCAAGTAGACCATTTTGACCCTTTAGTATTGAAGTCATAGGGTTCTGGGTGGCCAGGGGCACAGAATTTATTGCATATTTATTGACTGAATAATTATTTGTTTGTTGAAATATTTATTTATTGTGGGGGGGGATCTGTGTGTAATCAAAACCGTGCTGCTCAAATCCAGACAATTCAAGGGAGAGAATTAGCTCTTCTGGATGCAATCCTTTATTATTCCTTTCAATGTTTTATGTTTTCTTTTGTGCAACATAATGCACTAACATATGTTGTGCAACACACGCATACACACATTGGAAGGCTAATGCAAAGAACAAATTTAGCTTGGGAACATTCCATTTTGAATATATATTTTGCTGACATAAAATGTTGGAGAAAATTTCCAAGAATAAAATGGTAGCCTCTATTAAGTGAATGCTCTGCACAGTACTTTAAATACTTTTTAAGCAATTAAACTCTGGTTTCTACTGAAGACTTTATGGACTGTTTGATGCACCAAAGACTACAGGTTGTGAAACGTTGAGAAGGGGAGACAGCTAATGTGTTGAACAAACTCTCTTACAAACTGCACGCATGGTGCCCTCACCTGTTGGCTCAATAGCTCGCCTCTACCTTGTGCAGGCTTTAAACTTTAATGTCAACAGACCTCTCTTATCATAGTTGCAAATGGTTTTCACTTTAATGTTTAAAATAATGTCTCCCTCTCATACCATTAAGTTGCACCGAGGAACCTGTCATTCATAAATCTTAGATGAAAAGGGCACACTAATGCACAAATTTTGCTTGTTTAAAATTTGAAAGTGCATGTAAAGTAGGGAACTGAAGATTAAAAAAATAATGCAGGGACAGAGTCCGAGTAAAAGCAGATATAACAAAGTAGAAGAGGAAGCTTTTTAGTGTAGGTAGATGATGAAATCTTAATGAAGAGACAGGCATTATAAAAGTGTGTCCCTTGGCTCCAGAATGTTCTAGCTTGTGGTTACTGTGAATATAGTATATAAATAAACATAAGTTGATACGCCTCTTACGTCATGAATTCATTCTGCTACAGTAAAGGCTGTCTTACAGGAACCACTTTGGCTAAAGGTTTGGCACAATCCATCTAGTGCTGATTCTGTGCAACTTCTGTTCAGTGAGGCTTGTGTGAGAGAGTTATATCTTGTTGGGAAACTATTTCCAACTTACTGTTAAACTGAGGAGTTCTACAGAAATCACATTTTGCCTCTAAGTAGTTAGACCACAATGTAGGAAAATATATTTGCTC